ACCACAGCATGTTAAACTACTACCACGTTAGATGCATTGGATCTATCAATAATCCCAAACCACAACTCTAATAACAGGATAGCGCATTTGAAACAACAGCAAGATAAACCCTAATCCTACACAGTCCCATGTAAATGTAAACCATCTATCAGAAGCAACGTTGTAGGAAGCTGACCAAGGACTGAAGACAGATCAACAAAAATTACCTGCAACCCGGCTCGGGCCGACCGCGATACGGGCTTCTTCTTGTCCTTGTCCTTGTTCCCTGCCGTCGTCTTCGCCGCGAGAAGACCCTTTCCTCCCTTTCCTGCCATCTGTCAACTCCCTAAAACCCAAGCCAAGCATCAAGCCAAAACCCAGATGAGAACATCACAAACTCAAAACCTGCACCTAAAACGCTAAATCCAACGAGAACTGGCCCCCTAACGACGAACGAAACGCTAGAAACAGAAGTACGACAGAGGAACCTTAAATTCCTCCTCCAAAACCCAGAATCTAACGCCGAACACAACCGGAAAGAGCCACGATCAGAGCCCCAAGGCGAAGAAACCATCCTCGAGTCGAGAAGAACGACCCAAGATCCGAAGGATGTCAAGGGAGAGCAAGAAGTACCTCTTCCACTTCTCTGGCTTTCCGATCTCAGCAACAAAGCGGGCGTGAGAGGGTAGAAATTACGAGAGGGCTAAAATGTGAACGGACTTGGAGCTTATCATTTAGAATTTTTTCTTTACTATTTATAGTCTCTTAAAAAATTAATAATATAATATTTTATTACTTACGATCCTTTTTTTTTTTTTTTTTTTTTTCTACCCACATCCCTCAATACGCACCCTATTGCCTTTACCTCTCCGCATGACATCTTTTTAAATTAAAAGATATAGTCTCTCTTAAGCTATTATAAAATTTATACAATTTTTAAAATATTAAATATTATAATAAATATTAAATTTTATTTTTTATTTTTAAATCATCTTATTTCATCATTTTTTTCCATACGATTAAGAAGATGATAAGAAGAAAGAAAATCAAAAGTATAGAGTGAAAAATTGTTATTAGAATTAAATTATAAATAAAGGATATATATTTATAAATAAATAATTTATAAATATTTAAAATTCTTAAGACCAAATTATAAATAATAAAAAAGGATTACAAATAGTAATCTTCATATACTTAGGACGGGAGTTCCCAAAGTGCCCTCATACTTAACCTCAATGATCGAGAGGAGAATGCGGTCAGGACACAACTCATATTCCGATAATCGACTCGACGACGACTTCGTCCCCGGATTTGCTGTAGGCCTTTACTGGACTAACATCCGGTCCATATCGCTTCGATCCGGATCCAATTAGGAAAATAGAATCCAATTCAAGAGTTCGGATTCCGCATGTCATCGAAGCCCGAAGAAAATCTACATCCGAGTAGGAACATGAGCCCGTGGCAGCTTTAAGATTCGCGCTGCCCATGGTCGACCGAGAGAAGCTTGTGTAAATGCCCAAAAGAAAAGGCTCTCTTCTGCCAGGATCTGTGTGCAACCCAGATGGAGAATTTGCAGAATATAAGTTCGCATCCTTGAGATGCCAAGACTGTAGAAAGCTTCGTCAATCTGAGTACAAACATGCACTTCATTTCGATGAATTTGCTGCTTCAGTGAATGATGATGCGGCTGAAAGCACAAATTGTTTGTCTATGGTTCTGGGAAACAACTAAATGGATTCACAGGCTGAAACCGATGCAGGGAGCAAGGAATTTGCTGCGGAGTCAAAGAACACTCCTGCATATAAAGTTTGATGAGGAACAGCAATGGCACTGCTCCGTTGGAAAGAGCTTCAACCATGCAATGAAGTGGCTTTAGCAGCACTAACCGCACACAGGAGTGAATTGGATAAAGGATTGAACCAGTGGCTTATAAGACGAGGAGGAGGAAAAGGATTAGGCCAAGATGACTTCAAGTTTGGCACGATGAGAAAGAACTGTTACTTCCCAGTGCGGACATATATGACTTTTGCCTACTGTGATGTCGACATGATAAAGCCACACCAAAGAACTCAGAAAGCTTAGCATTTGAGGACATCATGTTCTCTTTCTGCCTAAACAATTCATTAGTGTTTGTCATGATATGGTGGTTGGAACAATGAGTGCTGATGGAACTAACATCTAATATCTTGCCATTTGTGTACTGAAAAAATAGCACCAACAGAGGGATAGAAGAAAGAACAAAACATTCACATGGGTTGGCTCAAAATAAGACTGATTATAGTGATCAAATAGGATGATGTTTCACATTTGTTTCAGCTATCTTAAGCTTTAACTGGTTCGAGTGTGAGTACTTTAGAAACTTCAATCTGTGGAATCATGGTAATAATCTAACCAGAACACTTGGGCAACATGTCAGAGCCACAAGAATGAGGGTGTCGATTCCTTCAAGAAGCTCACTGCAGGAAGGAATCTCTTGAGTAGTTTATTACATTCAATATGAACAAAAGAAATTGTTGGTAATGCCATCAATATCATTCATAAATGGCAGTGACAAAATATTTTTCAATGACTTCAAAATTGAATAGTTAATCTTTTTTCTAAGACTGCTAGAATGGTGATGAAGTAATGATGTACCTAATTAAGACAGATCCTTACTTGCACTATACAATATGTTACTGCTTATGTAACCTGAGCTCAGATCAGCAGACAATAATAGTGTCTTCAACATCACAAGACTCTCAGCTTACTTGCATCCGTTTTGACTTTTGTGTTCCATTTTATTGCATCGTTTTCCCTTTGTTCATCCCAAAAACTCTCATATAACTGATCATAGGTTGTGGAATATTGCAAAGTTGATATGACATGATGTATGGTATTAATTGATAACACTGTTGGCATTTTTAAGAGAGTACATATGATTTATAGTGATTTTTGTTGGCAAATTAAATCAGAACCAACCAGCTTTAGGAAGACAACAGCTACCTTTAAAATTACTCAAAATTACAAGAGGAATCCATCAATTTCAGGGAGGAAACATCACACCATTAAAAGTGGTTTATCTTCCCAGAATCAAAATCTCTATGATTTTATGGTCTCTTTTTTCCTGTGACATAATTTTCCCAGTTCCAACCCTCTAGAAACAAACTTCCCTATTAGTTCCAAGACATCTATCTCGACAGAAACCTCAAGAAAGTTGCTTGATGTGAGCTGCATAAAATCTATGGACTCTTCTTGCTCAAGCAAACACTTGCAGGTTTCTTGTTCGAACTTTTAGCAGCAGTTCCTGCCCATGAGCCACAGGCACTACAGTATTGACAAGGAATGCCAGCACGTGGTTTTGGGACCATCCTTGGGAGTTGCATGACCACTTGATAAAACCTAGGGTTCCTTCTAAACCAGAAGACATGAGAAATGTTCTAAGCAACTTTAAGCAGGAAGGCATGGGTGTCCATGTATATGGCCACAGTTGTGTAGAAGGACTATGACATCTCATCCAATTCACCATCCTCAGCAGGGAAGCTTTGTAAGGGATGAGATCTGCACAACTTTAGCCCTCCATCACTGTGGAGATTTAATTATACAGCATTATTGTCATCACCACATTTCTCTTTTGTGCCTCTGGGTGTCTATTTGCTGGTGAAATCACATTGAGATAAATGCAAGTATTTAATTGGTAAGAAGTTCAAATAATCTAGATTATTTCTTAAGAATATTTATTTACTTATTTTTCTACATTGAAAAGAAAACCTTAGCTTTTCTTGCATATTTGATTGCAAACAAAATGGTAAAATGATTTTTAATGAAAAAATAATTAACAGTCTCCTTTGCGATGGAAAAAAAAGGTGATGGAAGGAACAAATATCAACTTTAGTGTTTTTTTCAGCTGGCCTACTAATTAAAGACACATATTCTATTTATTTTGATAAATTTACATGAAAAATAACACAAACTATTGAGGTGTAATTGTTGCAATCAATGTGAATGCGTCATGATCTGTCCTTTTCTTTTGTCTTCTTCCAACTCCATTATTTGACAATGTAAGATCAACCGTGTCCTAAGAAATCAGGTAGACTCAACCTGGTTTACATCTCTTCCACTACAAAAGCAGTAAGACATCTGACATGATCATGCCGTGACATATCATGTAAAACTTGTCAAATTACACATAAAGCTAGGCAATGGTTAATTCCATAATCATCACAGGAAGTAAATGCATGAGAAAACCAAATTACATATAAATTGTTCGATCATATATATATATATATATATATATATATATATAGGTCATAAATTTGTCACGGACAAGTGGAGCAACATGGACATGACTTGTCTGCAAGCAAGAATGACTTGATCGATACATGTTTCTTGTGGAACTGGCTAACCGAGTTTACAGCCAAGTTTAGCGGCACGCAATGATCGAGTCCAATCCACGCTTTCATCACCTATTGGGACGCTGCGCATCGGGCCCCGCCCTCTTCATTCACCCGACATCGTTGATCATCACAAGACGCCAAAACCCCGCAAATTGACCTCATCATTCAAAAGCCACCCTAATCATTGATTTAATTTCTTCCGTCTTGATTACGTTTGCTTATCCGTGCGTAAACCTGTGAGCAGTAGGCATGGGACACGCGTCGGACATCAGGCGGTGTGATTGGGTACATGATCTCGTACGCGTGAACGGAAATCCCCCTTTTGGGCATTCACCACTACCTGTAGCCACTAATAACGTTACTGACACTTTAGCAGATGGCACACCAGGAAGTGGAGTGGCAAAAGCGTGGTTGCAGAGGATAACTGGAGATAAGATAGTTATTTGAAGGCCATCATGGTTTCCCTGACTGGACGCGTGTCGTCGACGATCCCGTCGAAACTGCTGTTCGTGAAACCGGCCAAGGTACCAGAAACCGTCTTCCGTATGGTTTCGGATCAACAAGGGACACGTAGGATGACGCGTGTTGTCCTAGTCAGCACTACCCACTCCTCCCTCCCCGTTCGCCCCATTCCGAACCCTTTACAACTGCCCCGCGCCCCACCCCACCCAAACACCGGCTCTCTCCTCACGAACTCCCCAGTCCCCCAAGGATCGCCACCGCCGGAGGACCCGAAGAATGGACGCCAGAATCGGGGCTTCAGGCCGATCGCCGGCCGCTGGGAGCCATGGACGGAGATCGTAAATGTCTCCGTTTCGCCCCTCTCCATCGGAAACCTTGTGGCGAAGCGACTCGCCGTAGGAAGTCATTCCCTGTTTGATACCTGATTCGGTTGCAAAGGATCGTAAAAAATCTCGCGGTCCTCTGTTTTCTTGGTTTAGTTTTGGACGATTGTGTTCGTCGACGAGTTACTGATCGCGATTGTAATTTTCTTTCCATTATTTTGGTCGTTATTATTGTGTGGCGATTTTGTTTCCTCGAATCGTATGTTGGGACTACTTTTGGCTGTTGAAATCGGCACCGATCTTGTCATCGATCTCGGATATCATCGTCTCTAGCTTGATTTGCTGCGTGGAGATGGAGTTTTACTAGCTTCCAGTTTCGATTTTGGTGAGAACATGCCGTTTCCGATGAAGATCCAGCCGATCGACGCGATCGATGTGCTGCTGAGTGATCAAGTAAAGCCCGTGCCGAAGTGGAGGCTAAAGCGGCTGTTCGAGCGGCAATTTCCCGGCGTCCTTCGGATCTCGTCGGCGGAGCGGCTCGCCGGTGGCGTTGATCTAGAGCCGAGCTCCGTCTGCCTGGACAAAATGGTCCGCAACTTCATAGAGGACAGTGGCGAGAAGCCCTCGTCCCGGTGCGGTCGCAGCCGCTGTAACTGCTTCCACGGCAACTGCGACGACAGCTCCGATGACGACCTCGAGTTCCTCCCCTCCTCCAACGCCGGCGATCCTCCGGTCGTCTCTGCCGCCGAGGTTATTAAGGTATCGTCGGTTTCTTATGCACTTGATTTCGTTATCTCAACACCCGTAATATTCCCTTTTTTAGACGGAAATGGATTGCAACAGGGTTTGGTGGTTTGCGCAACCCTCGCCGAGAGGAATCTCTTAGCGGACGCGTCCAGCGTCGTGGAGAAGTGCAAGAATTGCAACCAAAAGGACGAGCATATGAAGGCGATCGCCGACGGGCTCCGATCGCTCGGCTACGACGCCGCCATTTGCAAGTCGCGGTGGGAGAAGACCCCGTCCTTTCCCGCCGGTACGTTCCTCCTCCGTCTAACTCCATTAACCCGCCGCTTCTTTTCTCCGTTTCGGTCGTCGACTGATGGCGCCGGGGGTGTTGGCCAATCAATTGACGGCAGGCGAGCACGAGTACATCGACGTAATCGTCGGTCTCGAGCGGTTGTTAGTGGACGTGGACTTCCGGTCGGAGTTCGAGATCGCGCGGTCGACGAAGAGCTACGCTGCGTTGCTTCAGTCCCTGCCGTCCGTCTTCGTCGGGAAGGTGGACCGGGTGGACCAGATCGTCGCCGTCGTCTCGGAGGCGGCGCGGCATAGCCTCAAGAAGAAGGGCCTGCACTTCCCGCCGTGGCGGAAGCCGGAGTACCTGCGCTCAAAATGGCTCGCTCCCTATGAGCGATCGATCCTTCCCGCCGATCCTATGCGAGCAGCCCAAGTCGCAGAGATTGCCGAATCGGATGGGAAAGCTAAAAGTGAGAACGGCGGGAGTGTTGCCGCCGCCGGGTCGGCGGAGGAATCCCGGGAGGCGGAGGGGAAGGGAGCGGAAGTGGTGGTGGCGGCGCCGGCGTGGGAACTGCCGGAGGTGAAGCCCAAGGCGTCTCACAAGGGAGCCAAGGTCGTCACCGGCCTGGCTTCCGTTCTCTCTGAAAAGCCCTAATTTTCTTTTTTTTCCTTAATTTTTTTTACCTTTGAGGAAAATGTTTAAAAAGGAAACCTTAGCAAATTACGCTGCCACCCTTTTCTCCTACTTTTTATGAGAGGGGCTTGTAAGAAGCGACGTCCTATGACTAAATTAGTAATAGCTGAAAATAATAAATAAAATTATAAAAAATAAAATTATCTCTAGTAACACTCGGGGTGGCGCAGCAATTACATGGTACTTCTTCCTTTTTCCAGTATTTTATGCACTGTTTATTAGTTTTTGTATAGATGCTTTATCAAGCTCCTGCATTTCATACGCAGCAGTGCCCGAGGCGGTTCCTGAAGGGGAAACATATAGCGAGTGTGACCGAAACATTAATATAAAGGTCTCTCCCTATTCTTCTCTTTATGGTGTCATGATCATACCCCGTCAGGTATCGGTCTCGTCCAGTTTCTTAATCAGCTCTACTCCAACGCTGGCCGATGGTTGGATGACGGCATGATCGTACCGTCTCGAATTCCGCGTGGTTGAACTGCACGTCCACAGCGGGGGTATACTATTCGAACTGACCAAACTGCCCCATTCTCTCTTCCCCTCTCACTCCCTCATGGGGGTGATCTCGGAAATCCAGTAGGTGAGTCGACGCGAGCATCTTGTGCTCCTCGGCCGGCCTTATCCTGTCTTCCCGTGACTCGGCGTCCGAGTAACGGCGTTAAGGGCCCATCCATGGGCCATTGCCCTTATTTCTGACCTTGTTCCGAGAGTGGTCCCACTCCCACGTCTCTGTCGCCTGTAATTTGACACTGACCGTCGTCCTTTCTTGACACCACAATCATTGTAGCCTTTATTCCCCAAATCCCCCACCCCTCCCTGTAACTCGACTCTTTGCGCTGAACTCCTCACAGTATTATATTCACTCGCTGTGCTGAACTACTCCTGTGTCGCTTATGGCGCAAGGGAGGTGTTTAAAATCGTAGATGGCTCTGTGATCCCCTCATCCAAAGTTAAAAGAAATCAGAGGGCGAGTTTCTGTCAAATTACAGGACGGCGGGAAAAGAAAGGCTCTGTGGTGTGAAATTATTCTGTCTGGACTCTTCCTCGGGAGCCAAACTGCCCCACCTCCCCCCACCATCCCTTCTTTGTCTTTTTCCCAAAAGCAGCAGAAGAAAAAAGAAAAAAGTAGTGTTCATGAAAAGAATCAAGTTTTTTTCCCTCATATTTCTTCCCCATGCCTCCTCTGATTCTGCCATTTGTTTCCACCCGTAGAGACGGATAAAATACATGGAAAGAAGAGACTTGCAGGTAAGGTATTGGATTTGCTACCGTTTAATCCAACTAGTTTGAGTCGAGGATGATGACGTGATAAGTTGTTGATCGTTCACTGACCTGACGCAACAGGAGGCGCACAGGAAACTTCCACTCGTAGGTGAGTTAGACCAACCATTGTTGTCAGAAACCAGTGTTGCACGGGTTTGTGGAAGATGAAAGGGCACGAACCTTATCCAACGAGGATAAAAGGAAAGTGGATGTACCAAGCTCCTCCGACTCGTTCGTCTATCACGGTTGGTGTGCATCAGGATATCTGTGGGTGCAGGTGCAGAATAAGTCCCTCGGCGGGGACAGGGAACACGATTTACCACTAAGTAGGGTACAGAGTTGGACCGAACCGGAAACCTGCCTGGCTCAATCTGATTATAAGACCGGGTCGCGTCGGTTTGGGTTGGCCTAGCTATATGTTGAGTTCGGGTTGAAATTCCATCCCACCGTCCAATTTCCCTTTCCCGAGCGAAACATGAAAGCACCTATTTTATTTAACACATACCTTAACAAATTGATTGTGTGGAATTTGCTATGTTGACTAACTATCGAATGATATAATAATTAGCTCGACACTAACTCGGGTGTCTCAGCCCAAGGCAACAACCAAACATCCCATCAAATTAATATAGTGCACAACAATGTTAAATGTAATGTTTAATGATTCTATCGATTCTTTACGTCAGGTAACACTTAATGATTCCACATAATTATCATCCTAATTAAATATCTACTTAAATCAATATTCAAGTCTTAGTACAGATTTTGTTTGTCCGTGATTGTGATTCAAATATAATGGAAGCCCGTTCAAAGTCTTACTCCATATCACTATTTGTAGATGTATTGAACCTAAAAAATTAAATAGGGGTACTCTCGACAAATATCCCGTAGATGATCAAGTTAATTGTATAGTTTACATTAATCAAACTAGCCGATCAATGCTGACTATGAGTTATGTTAGAGTGCATACTTGGAGGTCTTTGACCCGAAGACGATTATGCTCAGGATTGTTGGTGATAAGAGAGGGATGTGCAGTATACCTTGGGCAGATACCAGGTATCGAGTGATGTTTGTCATACCTTAAGCCCATGTTAGCTATTTATGCCATTCACAGGATACGAATAATTGATCGCTCAATCTCGTATCACCCACAACGACCACGTGTCTTTCAGATCTAATTGTCATGTGTGGACCTCGTAGGGTTGACGTAATCTTTTGATGATTGGTTCGTTAGCCATGCGTCACTATGTGGCGACCATGTGTCCATTATGTCATTCTTTACTTTTCACCGAGAGACACTATAAAATTCATTAGGTATATCGTTTGACTAAATCTCTCATGTATGTACTAGATAAAATCTTTAGGATCTTTTGAGCCCCCTTTCTAACTTAAATATTACACGAATTTTTAAGTTTTACCTATTGTGTTTTTTTTATGAAGTCTAACCAAGTTTGGACATCTCCGAACACCATGTTGTTGGATATTATACTTTTGGTTGCCTTCAATTCCCAACACATCAAATCAAACAATCAAAAACTCTTGTAACACAGTCAAAATTGCATGTCGTTCGAGTACTCTTAACAAATAAAACATTATGATGTGTATGATATGATATAACCAGATTGACCAAAGTTACGATTGTAAAAGTGACATTCTCTTGCTTACACGAGCAAAATGCAATGTCATACTTCATCAATGGAAAATTAATCTCTCCATATCAATTGCTCGAAGATGACACTGCATTCACTTAAATTAATCAGCACTTAGAATCCATATGACATACTACATTAATGGAGGCGGCCTTTGCCTCGTTCTCTACTGCGTGCGTTGATTTAGTTACTTGATAAATCTAACTGAATCTAATCTTTATCTATTCGAGTATCATAGTGGTGATTATGATGATCAGCCTCGATCAATAGCATAGAATCAAACGTTGGGTCGGAGTAAAACATATCAGGAGATTGGATATCGGGCCAGAGGATCCGTCGATGACATCGGGCCAGAGGATCCGTCGATATGCCGGTAGAAGAACTTCGTGCTGTGTGTTCGGCCATCGGGCCGAAGCATTGGATATTGCACTAAGGAGATTAGAAGTTGCGGGAGTCAACATACCAATTGGACAATATATCGAAGGAGAGGACGATGCACCGAAGGATTGGACAAAGCGCCGGAAGAACCAATGACATGCCGGACAATATATGATTCGTACTTTGTAATAATTTATCTAGATCGAGTTAGTTTAGGTCTAATTTAGTCGGTATTGGGGTGAAACAATGTCAACTCAATTAGGGGCTAATTGGGCCTGAATTGTGACTGAATTGTACCTATTGTTTGGCCCATTGAGTGTCTTGTAGTAGGGTCAAGTGATGGTACCGCCATACTGAGCGGTAGTACCGTCAGACTTGGCTGTGATACCGCTTAGACATAGGCTCCCAGATTGTGTCAAGCTATGGTATCGCCAAACTAGGCGATGGTACCGCTCAAACACAATCTCCCAAACTGTGTCAAGCGGTGGTACCGCCAAACTAGGCAATGGTATTTCCCACTATCAATGCTGCAAGTGATAGTACCACCTAGCATAAGTGGTGGTACCACCCAGCACAAGCGGTGGTACCGCCAGACCTAGGATGAGACTTTTTTTGGCTCTATTTTTGAAGTCATTTAGGGTCTATAAATACCCCAGCTATTCCTGCATGGAGATGTAAGAATTGAGCAAAAAGAGGAAATAATTCTAAGATGAAAAAATGTTGTAATCTCTCTAAGTTTAGTAAGTCTCTTCCTCCTAGAGTTAGAAGGCTTCTAAGGGAGGAGTGAGGTCTACAGGTGTAAAGGTTCTCACTTGAGCTTATGAAAAGATAAAAAAGTTATAAGGGTAGTTGATCTTCGCCCATTGAAAGAAGATCGGTAGTGAAAGCTGGTGGCCTCGAGTGAAGAGGAATCGGGAGTGGATGTAGGACACGACGACCGAGCCACTATAAACTCGGTGTGCAATTTCTATTCTACTTTTCATTATCTTTGCTATTATTTTGTGAGTTAATAGCTTTGTTCACTTACTAAGTCAAGCACACTTTTCCGATATCGATTTCATCGAACATAATTTTTCAAAATCGATATTTTTATAGTAAGCACTAATTCACCCCCCCTCTTAGTGTCAACTTGATCCTAACACCTCATTCATCTAGTATCTCATAGATCGTATATTGGGCATGGTGTTGTCAGACCCATACGGTTTATACTTAAGTCTCGCTTTAATCGGATTCTCCCGAAGAACTCTTTCTCTCTCAATCCGAATGACCCTAGCTAGGGATTTGTCTGAGCAAGAATACATGAGATATTCCTCTCATGACACCAAGAGTATATAATCCTCTATCGACACTCAATATTTCTTATAAGGTTGGCTGCCACTCTCGATGACCGGCTCAGATCTGAAACTTCCAGACCTATAAGTTCGATATCAAAGAGTGGAGTACTCATATAGGACATCCATGGTGTCTCAAGTTTAAGGACCAAATATACCACTAGGACGACGGAATCACTATCCGACAATAAGGCATCATCAACCATCTAGTATTCCATGAGCGGATCAATTAGTGAACTCATTCTCCAATTAGCAAATTCACTATAGTCCTAATGACCCCACATGAGTAGCTATGAGACCAGTTGTCTCCATCATATGGATGAGTATACAACATACTATTCTGTCCGGTTATCTCGATATCCCTCTTGAGTAACCTATGACCAGTATTATTTAGGGTCTATGTTTAAAGGTGAATCGGTCTCATTATCATAATCTCATCACAATCCGATTCCCATTATAGAAATACATGGACATCACAATATATATATATATGCATATATGCAACAAGCAATATAAGTGATAAAATGC